TATTTTCGGCCCAAAAAGGCCTTTTTTGGGCAAAGTTTATGGCGTTTTTCACGCCAACTCCCAACGCACGCGTGCTAATTATGTCCCGTATGTCCCCACAGGTCCTATTTGACATGTGAAACCTACCCGTGCCATCCCTACAGTGGTTCGGGGGCTACTTCCAATTTTTGGCCGTCGAAGGCCTTTTTCGGCTAAGTTTATGGCATTTTTCATGCCAACTCCCAACGTATGCGTTCTAATTAAGTCCCGTTTGTCCCCACAGGTGCTATTTGACATAAGGAAACTACCTGTGCCATCCCTACAGTGGTTCGGGGGCTACTTTCAATTTTTGGCCCAAATTTATGGCGTTTTTCACGCCAACTCCCAACGCACGCATGCTAATTACATCCCGTATGTTCCCACAGCTTCTATTTGACATGAGGAAGCCACCCGTGACATCCCTACAGTGGTTCGGGGGCTACTTTCAATTTGCTGCCCAAAAAGGCCTTTTTGGGCAAAGTTTATGGCATTTTTCAAGCCAACTCCCAACGCACGCATGCTAATTACATCCCGTATGTTCCCACAGCTCCTATTTGACATGAGGAAGCCACCCATGCCATCCCTACAGTGGTTCGGGGGTTGCTTTCAATTTTCGGCCCAAAAAGACCTTTTTCGGAAAAATTTTACATTTTTCACGCCAACTCCCAACAGACGCGTGGTACTTACATCCCGTATTTCCCCACAGGCCCTATTTGACATTACAAACCTACCCGTACCATCCGTACAGTGGTTCGGAGGCTGCTTCCAATTTTCGGCCCTCGAAGGCCTTTTTCGGCTAAGTTTATGGCATTTTTCACGCTAACTCCCAACGTACGCATGCTAATTACATCCCGTATGTCCCCACCGGTCTTATTTGACATGAGGAAGCTACCCGTGCCATCCCTATAGTGGTTCGGAGGCTGCTTTCAATTTTCGGCCCAAAAAGGCCTTTTTCGGCAAAGTTTATGGTGTTTTTCACGCCAACTACCGACGCACGCATGGTAATTATGTCCCGTATGTCCCCACAGGTCCTATTTGAGATGAAAAACCTACCCGTGCCATCCCAATAGTGGTTCGGGGGCTGCTTCAAATTTTCGGCCCTCGAAGGCCTTTTTCGACTTTTTATGGCGTTTTTCACGCCCACTCCCAACGTACGCGTGCTAATTACGTTCCGTATGTCCCCACAAGTGCTATTTGACATGAGGAACCTGCCCATACCATCCCTACAGTGGTTCGGGGGCTGCTTTCAATTTTCGGCCCAAAAAGGCCTTTTTGGGCAAAGTTTATGGCGTTTTTCACGCCAACTCCCAATGCACGCATGCTAATTACATCCCGTACGTCCCCATAGGTCCTATTTGACATGAGGAAGCTACCCGTGCCATCCCTACAGTGGTTCGGGGGCTACTTTCAATTTTCGGCCCAAAAAGGCCTTTTTCGGCAAAGTTTATGGTGTTTTTCACGCCAACTACCGACGCACGCATGGTAATTATGTCCCGTATGTCCCCACAGGTCCTATTTGAGATGAAAAACCTACCCGTGCCATCCCAATAGTGGTTCGGGGGCTGCTTCAAATTTTCGGCCCTCGAAGGCCTTTTTCGACTTTTTATGGCGTTTTTCACGCCCACTCCCAACGTACGCGTGCTAATTACGTTCCGTATGTCCCCACAAGTGCTATTTGACATGAGGAACCTGCCCATACCATCCCTACAGTGGTTCGGGGGCTGCTTTCAATTTTCGGCCCAAAAAGGCCTTTTTGGGCAAAGTTTATGGCGTTTTTCACGCCAACTCCCAACGCACGCGTGGTAATTACATCCCGTATGTCCCCACAGGTCCTATTTGACATGAGAAACCTATCCGTGCCATCCTCACAGTGGTTCGGGGGCTGCTTCCAATTTTCGGCCCTTAAAGGCCTTTTTCGGCTAAGTTGATGGCGTTTTTCACGCCAACTCCCAACGTACGTGTGCTACTTACATCCCGTATGTTCCCACAGGTCCTGTTTGACATGAGAAAGCTACCCGTGGCATCCTTATAGTGGTTCGGAGGCTGCTTTCAATTTTCGGCCCAAAAAGGCCTTTTTCGGCAAAATCTATGGCATTTTTTACCCCAACTCCCAACGCACCCGTGCTAATTACGTCTCGTATGTCCCCACAGGTGCTATTTGACATGAGGAAGCTACCCGTGCCATCCCTGCAGTGGTTCAAGGGCTGCTTTCAATTTTCGGCCCAAAAAGGCCTTTTTCAACAAAGTTTATGGCGTTTTTCACGCCAACTCCCAACGCACGCGTGGTAATTACGTCCCGTATGTCCCTACAGGTCCTATTTGACATGAGAAACCTACCCGTGCCATCCCTACAGTGGTTCGGGGGCTGCTTCCAATTTTCGGCCCGTGAAGGCCTTTTTTGGCGAAGTTTATGGCGTTTTTCACGACAACTCCCAACATACGCGTGCTAATTACGTCCCGTATGTCCCCACAAGTCCTATTTGACATGAGAAACCTACCCGTGCCATCCCTACAGTGGTTCGGGGGCTGCTTCCAATTTTCGGCCCTCGAAGGCCTTTTTTGGCTAAGTTTATGACGTTTTTCACGACAACTCCCAACGTACGCGTGGTAATTACGTCCCGTATGTCCCCACTGGTCCTATTTGACATGAGGAAGCTACCCGTCCCATCCCTACAGTGGTTTGGGGGCTGCTTTCAATTTTTGGCCCTCAAAGGCCTTTTTCGGCTAAGTTTATGGCGTTTTTCACGCCAACTCCCAACGTTTTGAAAGGCCAACCCAAACATGTTTAAGCAAGTGGCCCGGACTAGACAATGAAGTCCACATAATGAGTGAAGCAAAGCCCATTAAGAAAAGAGGCGCTTTGAATCGCTTTGAATCGCTTTGAATCTCAATATCCTTTTCAATTTAGACAAACGAAGGGCCACTAAGACTACTGATTGACCCAACAATGAGGTACCTATGGCTGCAATGAGAGTTCTAATCAGTCCAGGCCCAACCAGAGGAACATCTTTATTTGAACCATTTTTAACATGCTGTCAAAATATTTATTTTTTTTTTCTGAAAAAAAAAAAAAAAAAAAAAACCTATTTTGAACTTTGCACAGAAAATATTATATATAAGCAAATTTTTTTACTTAATTTTTTTATCACTAGATATAAAAACATGATTCTCATGTATGTTTATTATCGTGAATCCGTGCTACATTTATATGATAAAGAAAATAATATACAAGTTCACTTGTCAGATCTAGTGATATGTCAAAAAGATAATTGGTTGATAATTTTTAGCTCTAAGAATACCAATACTCAGTATGGTAATAAAATTTATTTGATGAGAAATCTATTTATGTATGTAACATCACAGTTGAAATATATAACAGGCTAATGATTCTTCAATTACAAATCATACGCAGCTGTTGATTGATGATCAAACTCTTGTATGATTTCTTGGCTGGTAACTTGGCATCCCACCTACTGTTTATTAGGTAGCAGTAATGCGGCTATTAAATGAGCTGATAAAGCAGTGGGTTTTCAGTTTAAGTAGTTAGTTGGGTAGTTAAAACCGCAATGACATGTGTTCTATTCCCTTCTTCTTATGATCTTATCTTCTTCCACAACAATCTCACCATGTCAATGGCATAGGAATGCCAGTCACACTCGACCAAAACACGTCAGTTTGATGGTAACTCAACCAAGAGAAAAATTGTAAGGACTAGCCAAGAAATTATTTGCACCGGCTTAAAATAATTGTGTGAAACATGTGATGCCAAGTGGAACATTAATTGTTTCCTCCTATATGAAAAGAGGACCACACACAACTCAAAACAAATCCATTCAATATTTAGGGGGAAGCTTCAATATTTGATCAGGAATGGACATGTTTTCCCTTTTTTTTGGGTCTATTTCAAAGGAATGCCATGCGTGTTCCTTGTCATCTATTGAACAAAATTTTAACAAAATATGAAACAAGAAATTTTAACAAAGTATTTCGGCAAAATTTTATGTAGTTACCTTATGGAAATCAGATTACGGTCCTTTGTGTAATGTTTCCAAACACCAGGTCGTCTGCTACTAAGTCTACTCACATTATGCCTCAAAACCTATTCCAAGCACATATTCCAAGCACATAACAACAAAAAATTTGCATAGCAACTTTAGAAAATAATTCTATGTCAATATGATCCATATTTTTGTTGAACATACATTAGCTTATCAATAAAAGTATGTTTACTGAATAGTAGGATGACCATCTGAACCTTCCAAGAGGGTTGTGAGCCATGACACGACGTCGTTCAGATGATTCAGTTGTGCTTGTTGTGCCTCCTGTGCTTTTTTTTCTTTTTTGACTCCTCCCGTGCTTTTTTTTTTCTTCTTCGACTTGTTTCATCAGCTCCTTTCTTTCCCTCATAATGTCCTCCCGATCTCTTTAGCGCTCCTCTTTCTCCTTGAGCAACTCCTCGTGATCTCTTTGGCGCTCCTCTTTCTCCTTCAGCAACTCCTCGTGATCTCTTTGACGGTCCTCACGAAGAACCTCCAGTTCCGCTCTCATTGCCTCCATATGTTTATCACGTGCTCGTGCCGCACTAGAAGCTGTGGAAGAGGGTTGTGGGCCTATCCCACATCCACGCAAGTAATTTTTTTTTTGCCCCGAACACTTGCCTTGAAAGTTCTTCGTGGGTCAATGGCAACCCCGCATCGGTAGCTACGACTTGTAGATTCACCATATCATCCTGCCATGGTAAAAAAACAATGAAGTCAAGATGGTTGAAGGAATTGAAAACAACTTTAGTAATTGATATGCAACAAAATTGGTTTCAACATTCAATACTCACATGTAGCTCACAACATTTGGGGTCAATCCAGTCTCCCGTCCTCTTGGACTTGTGTGATTTCTTATAAAATTTAGGAAAATCTATTTCTCCATCCTCATTTGCCTATTTGGTTTGAAAAATTTCCATTGATTAGTACATAGTAATATTCAAAAAAAAAAAAAAGGAACAATCAATCATCCATTACATTACTAAATTAATAATTTCTCACCATAAGTGACATTGCTATAGGAAATGATCGCGATCCACTTGTATGATTATAGGGGAGCATACCCCTATTGGCTTTACTAGCTTTAGAGCGTTTCTAACAAGAAAAAAAAAAAACAATATTTCAAAAAAAAAAAAAAATTAGTAAAGAATTTTTACCTATTAACACATATATTAATTTCAAGAATGGGGTTTCTAATTAATTTGTTACCAAGTGAATTCGTCTTTCCAAGCAACATCAATCAGATATTTCCAGTCCTCCAAGCTCACTCCACTAGGCGAATGACTATAGGGGTCATCAACACCCTTTTCCTCAAGTTTGAGGAACTCTTCCTTTAGATTGTACCTCCAGTTCTTGTATAGCAAATATGCCTTTCTATCGAGGATTTCTTGAGCTTGTTCATCATTATCAAAATCATCGCCGATAACAAACTTGTCCTACAAACATAACAAGAGAATTAGTACATCAATTAATTTGAGCAATTACAAATAACTTAATAAAGACATTATGGCAAGATGAATCTCATACTAGCATGCCTTGGACGACCGCATCTTTGGTACTTTGATCGATTTTTCTCCGTGACTTCACGCTCTGAAGAGGGCACAACCGTCTAATTTGCAATCCTAACTCATTCGTCGCTGGGGTGGCATTCCCTCCTGTTATTGCGTTGAACACCCGATTGACATACACATGCAAACGGGTAAGCAAGTCACAAATTACAAGCATTGCTAATGAAATATGTGAGAGTATTGGTTGCTGCTTCATTACAAAAAAAAAGGGAAACACCTAATAAGTGACTATAAGTGACTATCAAACTAATACTATTAATTATAAGTGTATAGCCCTTGGTTGAAGTCCCATTCAATTGGGAACAGTTACTCCATTCATGACTTTGTATCCAATTTGAACCAAATCAGACGGTGCATTTGAGTGATGCTCTGTTGCAACACTCATTAGTTCATCTATTCTGTTCATATGTTCTGCTCAGTCTTCTGCTCAATCATCTGTGATGTTTTCTGTGGGCAGAGGAGATGCATGGAGGAAGCGAGGAAGTTGGCTGTCTACCCTCTTATGAGCTTATCAAGAGCATTTTGTTCTGTTGATCTGTTCTGCTATTCATCTGATGTTCTGCAACACGGCTGTTCATCTGATGCTCTGCTGCAACACTGTTGTTCATCTGTTGTTCTATTGATCTGTTCTGTTCACCCTTCAGGATTATTTCCCAACCACCTCCAAATTGTTCAATACATATGGTTGCAGATCTCATTGATGTTAATATTAATACACATGGGTCGAAGGTGGAGATAATTGGATGAGCATGCACAACTGATCCTGTCCTTACCAATCAATATCTCCAACAAAATGAATTGAAGGGTTGGGCACTGTTAAGTACATCAATTATTTATTTTTTTTTGTGCCTTTTTTTCGTTCTGTTTATGGGGTTTTGATTGCCTTAAAGACCTGACTTATGCACTCCAAAAAAAGGAATTTTTTTTTTTTTTTTTTTTTGTAAACAACTAAGTTCAATGCTCTTACCCACGCCACCTGGCTGCGTCTCCTCCACCACTGTTTGTGTATCATCTGGTGGCAGTGTCTCATCAGAGAACGTCAACGGGGTGCCAATCTCAGGTGGACATGCTTCAGAGGCTGATAATACGTTGGCACTTGTTGCTCTCTTCCGCCGTCCCATCTTGATTCCAGGAACCATGGTACCTACATAAAAAAATAACATACATGAGCACTCAACGTCACATACATCACTTACATTTACATAAACCTCACATTCATCATTTACATACATTTACATAAACCTCACATACATAAATGTGCAAACAACATTGGATATTTAAATGTCATTATTTTTTTTGACAACCAATCACAATTGGACTCTTGTATTTAGTTTCTAATAAAGTAAGATTGGTAGAATGTATAGAATTATTCAAAAAGAAAGACCTAACTTCAAGTTTATAAAAATTTAAAAGTAAAAAAAATTACACAGGCCCAAATTAAGCAACCAATAGATTAACCATGAATACCAACAGAAAAAAATAAGAACAGCAACATGACTACCAACAAATTAAGCAACCATTAAAAAGAAAAAGTCAAGCATGAATACCAACAGTTTAACAACCAACAGAACATGGCTAACAAACTTCTGATTAACAACCAACACAGCATCTCAACTTAGCCAATCAACCATCACACCATTAGCTACCACCTAAGCATAGCAGTCAAGCACCAAGCAGGCAAAGTGGAAAAAAACAACAGCAACCTCTCCAAGTCAGCAACCAGAGACAGAGCAGATGAGTAAATCTGCCACAGATTGTGGGAAAATCTGCCCAATGGGACAGCAGACCGATTGGAACATCTGACTTTACTATGAATTTGATTTTCACAATGTACTTTTAGAGAACACATAAAGTAATGTCACAACAAAGTGAATTAAAACTCTAGGTCCATATCTGTATCAAAATCACTTTCTATCTCATCTTCTTCTTCGTCATCACCGGCGATTGTTAGTTCGTCATCATCATCACAGATGAAAGCATCATCCATAACACCCTCGGGTTGTACACGCTTTTTGGACTGAGAAACTTCCATTGAAATAATTTCAGGTTCAATATCATCCCGACGCAAAATAACATCATCATCAATAGGCTCAGTTGGTACAACAGTAGTGGTTTCATCTTCTTGCAACACTTCATCAAATTCTGGCACATCCAGCTCTTGTCGATGTTGAAACTTTTCTACGACTCGCCAATTTGGCCCTAACTTCGTATCATGAACGTAGAAAACTTGTTGAACTTGGCTTGGGAACACAAACGAGTCATTTTTATACCATCGACTTCTTACATCAACAGTTGTCACATGTGGTTCGACACGCAAAGTTCAACTACTACCGGTGTTATACCATTCACATTGGAACAAAACAACCCGATGTCCGAACAAATGTCAGTTCCCACACTTTACAAAGGTAGCCGTAGAACTTTATCAATTGGCCTTGGTGGTCGTCTTCCACTACCAATCCACAATTTTGACATTTACGGCAGTTATCACGGTCAATAGTATGGAATCGGACGCCATTAGAAATGCACCCCTCATATGTGTTCACTAAGGCATTAGGTCCATTGGCTAATGACCACATCTCATCGGTTGCTTCAGGTGACTTTTGATTTCGCAATTGGTTCATCTACACAAGAAAGTATGTCATGTTAATTCAAACTTGGAATAATGTAAGGTTCTATGCAAACTATACACTAACGAGTTTAAGCTTACGCGATCTTTGAACCATTTAGAAAATACTTTGCATTTCCGCGTTGCAATGTTGAATGAACTTCCATATTTTTGTTGCAACACGAGCTTGTTTTCCCTAGTTAATACAATGTAATTCATAAGTAATTTGAATAATGGAGACTTTAAAAAATAAAAACCATGTAGAAAATGTATGTTGCATATATGATGAGGAATCATACTCTAGATATTCGTCCACTTCCAAACTATTGTGTAGGATAAACCAATGAGCCAATTCGCGGCCAGCTACGGACAGATCAATTGCCCTTGGGAGTTGACCAAAAGGACGAACATTTTCACTGAAAATTGCCAATCCGGGGCCATTGTCACCCCTATCGTAGTTCCTTTCTTCCCTGTTAAACACCGTTTCAACTCCATCCAAATACATTGAACAAAACGTCGTACACTCTTTCGATATGTAGCCCTCCGCAACGGAACCTTCTGGCCGAGCTTTATTGCCCACAAATCCTTTAAGAACTCCGAGCATCCTATATGCAAACATCAGCCTGATCGTTAGTATGGTCATATTGAACTATATTTACATGAAAAAAAACACCCCCATCGTACATATACCTCTCAATAGGATACATCCATCGATATTGCACAAGCCCTCCAAGCAAAACCTCATAAGGCAAATGAAATGCCAAGTGGACCATGACATAAAAAAAAGCAGGAGGAAAAATCTTCTCAAGCTTACAAAGTATAAGTATGATTTGTTCTTACAATTTCTCCAAATCAGTCACCCTCAATGTCTTTGAGCACAACTATTTGAAAAAAGTTCCCAACTCAAACAATGTGGTCCCAATCTCGGTAGGAAGGTATCCTCGCATCCCAATGGGAAGAAGTCATAGAAGGACATGACAGTCATGACTCTTGAGGCCAACTAACTTACCACCATTCGCGGTGACACAATTGGATACATTTGCCGCATAGCCATCAGGATACTTAATCGATTTCAAGAAATCAAAAAACCCTTGTCTCTCTGTTGGGGACAATGTGTACAATGCCGGAGGCTTCTCGAAAGAGGCATTCGCATGCCTTATCAAGTGTAACTCCTTTTGTATTCGCATATCCTCCAGATCCAAACGTGCTTTGTATGTGTCCTTGTTCTTGCCATCTACGCTCAGTAGTGTCCCAAGCAAATTGTCACATATATTCTTCTCTATGTGCATGACATCAAGGTTATGTCGAATCTTAAGTGTTTTACAATAGGGTAGGTCGAACAAAATGCTTCTTTTTGTCCAGTTCGGAGTTGGATTTTCAGTCCTTTGTCTTTTTTGGTTGGTTGGATGCTTTTCATACGGCCTGTACGTCCCCAAACTAATTTGCTCAAGTATCTGTTCTCCCGATAACTCTACAGGTTTGGACCGATTATCAATTTCACCGTTGAGTAGCTTACTTCTTCGCTAATTATGGTTCTCAGGTAAGTACCGCCAAGCACCTATATACCCTATCTTTCTTCGCAAGCTCTGAGATGAAGCATCCATGTTACAGTTAGGGCAGGCCAAGTAACCTTTTGTACTCCAACCAGACAAGGAACCATATGCAAGGAAGTCATTGATAGTCCACATGACTGCTGCATGCATTGTGAAAATTTGGCCGTTTGAGGTATCATATGTTTGCACACCATGCTCCCACAGATTAGTTAACTCTTCTACTAATGGTTGCAAGTAAACATCGATGTCTCTTCCAGGTGCGAATCGTCCGGGAATAAGCAATGACATCATGACAAATGGATCTTTCATACACTTCCATGGAGGTAGATTGTAAGGCATTAAGATTACGGGCCACATGCTGTACGATGTAATCATATTTCCGAATGGATTGAAACCATCTGTGGCAAGCCCTAGCCTTACATTCTGAGGATCTGCAGAGAACGTAGGATGCAACCTATCAAAGTCCTTCCATGCCTCACCATCAGCTGGATGTCGTAAGACTCCATCATCCACACACTTATCTTTGTGACATCTCATATGTGCGGTTGTTTTTTTGACATGTACAATCTCTTCAACCTCGGTGTCAAAGGAAAGTACCTCAGTATTTTGTGTGGAATTTTTTTACCCGTTTTGTCGTTCAACTTGTATCTAGACTCCGTACATGTAGGGCAATTCTCCAACGCGGCGTTGTCCTTCCAAAATAGAGTACAATCATTCTTGCATTCATGAATGGCCTCATATCCTAAACCCAATTCACGTAAGAAGTTTTTTGCTTCATAAAGGGTCCGTAGAACAGTTTTATCACACTTTGGTAGAATGTCTTTGAAAACTTGCATAACCATATCGAAAGATTTGTTGCTCCATTTATTGTACACCTTCACATGAAGCATCTTAATTACGAAGGACAAGATGGAGAACTTTTCACAGTCTGGATATACTTTGCGTTGAGCATCATTGAACAACTTCATGAACTTCAACAGATTGTGCCTCTTCGAACTAGTACGTTCTTCGTCGATATGATCATCCATGAGACCACTCATGTAAATCTCTTCTAACATGGTAGGGAGTTCACCCACATTTTCGTGATTGGCTGTCATTCCGAATCCGTTGCTTTCAGTATCATCGTTTTGCATAGTAGGATGATCACGAAATATGGGAACATGTTCGCCATGGTGCACCCAAGTTCGATAAGAACATGCGATTCCTCTTTGAATCAAGTGCAACCATACAACGTGTCGACTAAATTGTGTGCCGTTCAAGCAATCAACACAAGGACAATGGATTTCATCATGCGGCCCTAAATTCTTCGTAGCGAACTCAATAAATGACTGAACACCTTCAAGATACTCTTTACTTTTTAGTCTATCTTTTATCATCATCGAACTCTTGTTCATTATTGCAACAATACACATCAATCAAACATGAACCTAGGAATGGACGACAACTTGGAAAAATACGATGTACTGGAAGAGAGCCTAAGTAAGTTTAAGGGTTCGATTAGCATTGCAATAATGAAGTGAACGAAATAGTAATAACAGATCGGGATGTTTTGCCAATTTGTCAATTGCATGTAGTTGGCTAATTTCACTAGTAACTTGGCGTGCATTCATAAGCAAATGTGACATACATGAACAATTCTATGTGAAGTCATCTTAGAGGGAGACATATAATTGTAACTTGATGTAAAGAGAAACTAAATGTCAACTATAATTATATGGATTATTGTTCATATACTAAAAAAGTGTGTAAACAAATTTATTTTCATATTACAAATTAATTAATTTAATTACAAGGATTGATTGTTACTTCTAAGTAGTATTCCAAATATATACCCTTAATACGATTCTTCAACTCTATATTAATTAATAGGGGCATTTGCTAGTCTTGGTGCAAGATTAATTTATATTTAACAAACATTATACTAATTTCTAAAGAGCACAGAGCATCTTAGAGGGAGACATATAATTGTAACTTTATGTAAAGAGAAACTAAATGTCAACTATAATAAATTTTTAGATTGTTCATATACTAAAAAAGTGTGAACAAATTTATTTTCATATTACAAAATAATTAATTTAATTACAAGGATTGATTGTTCCTTCTAAGTAGTATTCCAAATATATACCCTTAATATGATTCTTCAATTCTATATTAATTAATAGGGGCATTTACTAGTCTTGGTGCAAGATTAATAATTTATATTTAACAAAAATTATACTAATTTCTAAAGAGCATAAGAGCATCTTAGAAGGAGACATATAATTGTAACTTTATGTAAAGTGAAACTAAATGTCAACTATAATAAATTTTTAGATTGTTCATATACTAAAAAAGTGTGTGAACAAATTTATTTTCATATTACAAAATAATTAATTTAATTACAAGGATTGATTGTTCCTTGTAAATAGTATTCCAAATATATACCCTTAATATGATTATTCAATTCTATATTAATTAATAAGGGCATTTGCTAGTCTTGGTGCAAGATTAATTTATATTTAACAAACATTATACTAATTTCTAAAGAGCACAAGGCATCTTAGAGGGAGACATATAATTGTAACTTTATGTAAAGAGCACAAAGCATCATCGCAAACTACTCAATCCTAACTAGGTTGGCACCTAGCAGAGAGCCCAATCATTTGCAAGCTCGACCCGAAGGGTTGGTGAGAAACCAAACCCGACAAGGAAAAAAGGCAAGAAAAAAAAACCCCCCAAAGAATCAAAACCCCAAACTACCATTATTTGGAATAAACCAAAAACCAAACACCCCATAGACCTATTAAACTCCACCCAGCAACCATGACCAACATCAACCAAAACATCAACAATAAACAAAGCATAAACAGCCCACACCCACCCCATCCGCAGCAGCAAACCAATTGAGCAGAGTAAAGACAAACCCAGCAAAACAGAGCACACAAGCAAAGGTTATTCAAAAACATTACATTATTCTGAAAACAGAAAACAGGGCAGGAGCTATTGATATAATTACACTTTACAATGAAATATTTGTTCCTGCTGTAAACAGGGCAAGAGCATGTTGATATAATCACATCAAGGTTTTCCATTCACATGTTCATGATATTATTTTATATATTAGTCAAATAAAAAGATTTCCTCGCACATAAGTTTTATAATAATAAATAAAATAAAAAAACTTTACTGCCGCTGTGAATGCATAGAAGTGGCTGAAAGCTAGAAGATTAGCAATGTAACTATTTATTTATTTATTGTGTTTATTAAAGAAAGCATGATATGCCCGAATTCAAATTGCTATTAAGTTTGATGGGGGTATTAATAAGATTACAGAAAGGGGGCCCAAGTTATTGAAGTATGAATCATAAGTGCATAAGCAATCCTGTAAACAAACTGAAATAACATGAGTGCAAAGAGATATCTGTATATCACATTAATTCCACATTATATACAATTCGTATTGTGAACCATCATGTTAATTACTCAAAAGGTAAAAGAAAAATGGAAATAAAGGAAGGAAACAAGTAGTATACGAGCCAAGCAATCACTTAACCTTACCATGAATGGACTAATATGCTATGATTTTGCAACTAGATCAGTAGTAGGATCGAATAAAAATGATACCCTTTCGCCCCATGGTGTATTAGTCACCTAAAATCAGAAAGCACCACTGCTGTTAGCAAGAGCTGACAACTTGCATATAAACGTCTAAATTGAGTATAAAATTTAATACTCAAATCATTTTTTGTAAGTGGAAATTTTAATACAAGATCATGGCATCAATTATCTAGCAACATAATTTCTTCCATGCTCATTAAATTATTTAGTTTAATGAGCATGCCAATACATGCACAACACTTGGGAAATTATCTCCGTCACAACCTGGCAGATTTCAACAAAAAAATGTAGGCAGCAGATTTCTGATCAAGAAAGAAAATTCTCAACAATGATAAAATTGAGAGATGATGCTACTGACAGCTCAAAATGCACAAAAAGGTCAGTTTAAAATTTGGAAGTGTTATGTTGACAGTTCAATATTTGAAAAGTCCAGTTTGAACTGTCCAAGTCACACATGACATGAAAACGAGTAACAGCATAAAATAATGTGTAGGGACACGCCTCCTGCCATATACAAATCCATTAGGTTAAAAAGAAAAATATAGCAGAACACTTTTTGTTGGACGGATTAACTTTTCAACAGAAAAAATATGCAACTATCTGGCTCATGAGCTCATCACAAATGACGGATGTAACTCCTTAATATTTTTAAAGATTGAATCATAAAATAATTGCATGAAAAAAGAACAAAAAAATATTTTATGCCACGATAGAGAGAAGTTTCCGATATCAATATGTTCAGTCATTAATTACTGTTTGATGTCTGCAAGTCATACTAGCATTAATGACAAGAAACTACACTTTTGTCATAATTTTAGTTCATGATATTATATTATTAACCCGTGCTGAGGGGAGAAGAAAATTTGTTAACTAATAATCCTGGGGACACAACAACAATTTGTATTTTGAATTTTATTAAGAAGAACATCGTACGCAAATGATTCATGGCACAAGAAGTATATGTTCAATACATTTATGTGAGGGCATTGTTGGGTAATCAACAAGATGTGGTTTGGGATGTGTGGTAGTTCACAGGATCCTAAGGCAAATTGTTTGTGGTTCTCTCTCAAACTATTTCTACCTACACTATTAAAGGCATTAGAGTATGCAACTGAAGCTAATTAAATGGACACACTCCCATAATGACTCTTTCATGGCCAACAGCCTCTGCCTTCAGAATGGAAGTTATCATCATCAGGAGGGGCTACTAAAATCTGAGTGACTAGACTCCTAGTGCTTTTAATGGTTGCGATTACTTTGAATGTGAACCTTAGTTATATCCTCTGTTTAGTTTTTTTGTTATTTTATTTTTATTTGTCCATATACTACTACTAAGTCCATAGTGGATGAGATGGAGTATTGAATGAGCAGCAGGTTATAGTAGGATGGCCGCGACTACCCCGTCCAAGTAATGCTAGTGTATGTAAAAATTGTAGATGTTTAAAAATGATTGGGGCTCTCAAACATTTTTTATAATGTAGTTGTAATTGGGGCTCTCAAATTTGAGTGTTTGATTACATTCAAAACATATGTTGTTCTAAATGTTGGGAACAACATAAATAGGATTTTAATCAGCAGAGCAAAAATAAAAATAAAAAATTATAAGCAAATTAGACGGAAATTTTTTCCAAAGAAAAGGTACCTTCAATCTCCAAAAATCATAGCAAGAGGGAACTCTAATGTCACTTTAAGCTCCTTAGCTTACTTAGATAGCAGAGACTTTGTCCTTGTGGTCTCAGGTCCTCTCACTAACAAGCAAAACAAGGTAAATAGAGAAGACCCCTTGCAGCTCCTATTGCAATTCTCTTCCTGGTGTTCTAGTCTAGTGCTGGTTTTTTTGTCATAATCAACACGACACATTGGATTTTGGTACGTGTTATTGGATTAAGCATAATTGTTGATAAGAAAGTTGTGTCCCATTATTCCTTTCTTTTGTTGTCATGAACCATAAAACTTTTCATGGGAAAGGGATGTATTAACATTTGCTTGTAATATGAAGAGAATCGACACAATTTTTAATTGATGCCCAACATACATTCATGTGATGCAAACAATTGGCAAGTTTGAGTTATTTACCAAACCCATGCCATTTTTAAACAAATTTCGCAAATACGAGTTAATTTGAACTTGATTCTCAAACCCACATTGTTCTTAAAACACAAACTTCAAAGAACAACCTGGATTTGGGAAATAAGTTCAAAACAATTCGCATTTGGGAAATCTATTTCAAAACAACATCGATTTGGTAAAAACCTCAGAAAAGTGTCTTAGTGCACAACTGGATGCCGAAAGGGAGTTGACAATCCCATTTGTCTCTAGGCCACCTAGTATATGGTGGTCCATAGCAAGTTCAAAAATAAGTACTAACACAGAAAACAAGGTAAAACATTATTTAGATTTCTCACCTATGCATGCATATATATATATATATATATATAGGGTTAGTTTGGAATATTCCTCAAACAGAAGCACATTTGGTCATATAGTTCAACAATCCACAATCGAGAATCAGAAATCGGCAATCCGAAATTTTAACCAAACCCATTCATAAAATCAGAAAAAGCCATAAAAATTGTTTGTGAAATCAACAGAAAAATGAAAGAAAAAAAACATTTAAAAACCCTACAGAAATCATTAGAGACATGGGGATGGGAGAGACAGCGAGAAAGAGATACAAATAGACAGACCCAAATCGACAAAGAAGGAGAGAGACGAGAGACAAATACCTGTAATCAGTGGTGGGGCCGATTTGCAGGGGTCGTGGTGGCCAGCGCCGGTGGCCAGCGATGGTGATGATCGGCGGTCAAGTTTGGTATTGACTACTGGTGTGTGAGGTCTGTATGTTGGTGTGTGAGGTCTGTGTGTTGGTGTGTGAGACAAAACAGTTCCAAAAATGTGTCTATGAAATATATATACTAGGCGCGAATATTTAATAAATTTCCCTCTAAGAAAAATTTCGAAACTTTAGTGACTAAATCATTATTTGTCGCCAAAAATCCTTAACAGCGACTAAAAATTGGTCGCCACTAAATCATTATTTGTCGCCAAAAATCCTTAACAGCGACTAAAAATTGGTCGCCAAAAGCATCCTATTTGGCTACTAATTCCAATTTTTCATCGGCAATGTTTACTATACAACGACTAACTTAGTTTTGGTCGCCATAAATTCATCAAAAATACGCCCAAAAATTGGCGACAAAATTTTTTTGTCGCAAAATGGTAGCAAACAACGACTACAACTAAGTTTGGTCGCCAATAATAATATATGGCGACTAAATTAATTTAGTAGCTAAAAATATTCAACGAATGCCGACTAAATCAGGTTTTTAGTCGCCCAATATGGTGCTTTTGGCAACTAAAATTGTTTTGGTCGCCAATTTTAGTCGCCAAATGTGCATTTTGTTGTAGTGATCGGTAGTTATATGTTTGAATCATATTTATATTAAGAAAATAAATAGCTACTTGAAATTATAATTAGCATCTTTTTTTAAAAACAAATATGATTCAAACATATAACTAGCGATATTCGATCATCTTAATTTTTTGCAAGAATATTTTACTTAATAAGTTCTAAAAAATGAATAATTCAGATCACTAAAGTTGACTGAAAAATAAATTCATCAAGCCCAAAAGTCAACTTGAAATAATCCAATCCCATAAATTTGCTATATTTTGATACAAATAAGAGTTTTAAATCTTAATCTATATTCATAGCCAAAATAAAATATCACTTGAATTCTATGCATTCAGATTTATCTCTTCCAAAATGTAAAGAAAAAAGAAAAAAACAAATATTTTCAAGTACCATTTTATTTCTAGTTCAAAAAAAAAGTACCACTTTATTTGAAATGGATGATCGATTACAAATAATTGATATATATATATATATATATATATAACACTACAAAATACTTAATTGTTTTACAGTTTCCACTTAATCAAAAGATGCCTTCTAGTTCAATGTTAGAGCATGCCAGGCCAAAGTACACAAGTAAAAGAAGAAGACCACCTCCAACATTACTCAAAACCTGAACAACTCAATCTATAATGCATATTATCTAACCTGAAACACAACATCTTCAAATTCAGCATTTCCATGTAGTATGACCTTTAATGCCTCAAACCACTGCAGATCATGCTTCCAGTATGTGTTGTTTCCTGGAGTCCAATCAATTCCTTCATTCAGTACTTTGACATTCTGTAACTTACATCTTCCACACCTACAAAATAGAATTCCATTCAAACTTCAAGTTGGTTGCTACTACTCTTGGAAAAAATAAAGAAAAACAAAATCAGAATCATCTATTACCTGTGCCCGTATCTTAGTTTGAGCTCACCATTTTCATCAGTCCTAGTCGAGCCCAATTCTCATCCTATATATTCTAACTAACTATTAAGTCACAAGAAATAACAGTTTGAAAACTCTTTTTGAAAATCAAATATTCATAACTTCTGAGCTCTAATTGGTAAGACCAGTTTCTCTAATGTTCCAAATATAGAGATACAAATTATAATGTTTTCATGATTTTAACAAAATTAAGAGTTTTGTACATATTAACCAGAATTTTAGGGTAATTCCCATGCAATACAAGCTTAAATATAAAAAGCAAAGTCTGAAAATTGAGTGTACTTTTTGTCTGGAGACTTCCCACAGTGGGCCCAAAGCAAGATGAAGGAAGATGAGATATGGGGGTCCAGAATCAACATATTTTTCATTACCTTCAATCTATGTAACACAATAAACAAAAGAGAATAACTGAACAAAGTTTCAAAAAATATATATCTACATGTACCAGAAAATATAAGCCTGACAAGCATAAGAAAAAATTATCTTAGATAGAATCTTGTGGTGGAGAAAATTAGCAACAACATTTATCACAAATCCTAGGACGAATGTTCAATATTAAAGTTGCAGATGTAAGAGGATGTACCTTAGGAATTTTTATATCACAGTGAGAAAGAAGATCATGGACATTGCGTATAATATCCAATAGTGAACCTTCTGGAGTCTGCACGTGTTGAACAAACATTGGATCAACAATCATCAGGTTTGCTCGGAAGTTCATGCTACCAAATTGCAAGGATTCGACTCTGATTCAAGTGCAAAGGAATTGGATACCATCGTGAAAGTTTAAAACCTAAACAATTGAGCATTGATAATAGTGATTTTTATCCTATCAATTGTGGTCTGCGTGAGGTGGCCAAAGAAGTCCGAGTAATTTCTTACAAGCTATTTATTATATACGTTAACACAATCTCATTACACTGAAGAAGAATATGAAAGTTCTTTAATTGATTAATTTAGCTAATACATCATGTTTTGATCTAACAGTTCAGATGGAAGTTGATTAGAACCCCAGATTTTTGGGGTGAACTTGACATTGAATGATACTGCAAGGCAGTCCAGGAATAAATCTCACACAGCAAGAAGACAATGGGGGCAGACCAACTAAAAAACAGGTAGAAGCATAGGTAGTTTGGCCACACTTTTGATCACTGCAATTATGCAACGGGAAAAATTATTCAGTACAGTTGCCGCACAATACATCCTTCATACATCATTGTGGATGTAGTGTGTGGCAACATTGCTATGAATAATTACTCTGAGCTTGCAGATTGAAACCCATTTGGGGTTACATGTTCTCTTCTAACTCCAATTCCAAAAGTAGAATTGAATATGGAAAGTTTTTTTTGTGTGTGTGTGTGTGTGTGTGTGTGTGTGGAAGCCTCTTATAGACTAAAGCATCTCTGTGAACATTACATTGCTTCACATCAGTGTTGGTGTGGGGGACCTCATGGGTCTTTTTACAATTGCAATCATCAAAAGAGTTCACTTAATTTATTTGGACAATCAGTAGTACTTCCCTATCTTGATCAGTGGGATTTTGGAGATACCCACATCAAAAAAAAGTGGCCCATTGGTAAGTTTTAATCTTATGTAGAAAAAAACATTTGATATCTTAAGGATTGAGAGTGTGTCATAAAAAGAACAGAAAAAACAGAAGATCTGAGCCAATAGTGGCGTCCAAAATGAAACATATTTGAGTATAAAACTTCAAACAAGTACACAATCATATATATTCGACTATCAGAGGTAGAGAAGAGAACACATGTTTTCTTTTGAAAATTGTTAACATGCAGATTAAAAAAAAAAAATTAAAGCATAAATCTGAAAATTGAAAATTATTCCCATTCTGAAATAAAATCAATGTCAATAAGCAGATTTAAAAAAAAAATTAAAGCAGAAATTTATCAAAAAAAAGCTAAATGTTTACACAAAAATAACAAGAATAGTATAAATTAAAAAACAATCGCAAACCCTATAAACAAAATTATAAGGAAATAAATTATTTTCCACCTAATAATTGAAAACCCATAAATAAACTGATGAAGATCGATATTCCACTGATTTAAGGTCCAGCTTTTGCAAGATGATTTGGGAAATAAATTTCGAGGAATGGTGTAAGGCGTAACAAATTGGTAATAAGATTTGGAAATGATGGTAGTCTTATTCATTGCAATAACAAATGCTGATTTGGAGCTACATAATGTAAACATCCATGATCACTCACATATGTCACTGTAAAAGTGTTTTGAAATTTTAGACGGTCTCAACTACTAGTTGGAGCTCATACCCTATTTTTACGTTTCAGATGCACCAGTCCTTGATTAAAGCTGGAGTTTATGATTCTTTTGTGAAGATCAACAGTTGTATCAATGCCATTGGGCATTATTTTGTTGTTGGATTGCATGGGCATGTGTTGGCCCTCTCTTTGGGCTTGTAATAGTTAACTGTTGATAGATTTTTACTTGCACCGTGCCAAATTACCATTTTTTTCTTTCCTATGTCTAAAGCGAGTGCACCAAATTACCATTTTTTTCTTTCCTATTGTCTAAAGCGAGTGCACGTAGTACTAGCAGCTTTATGGGTAAATTTCTTGTCTTTATAGTTACAGTGATTGTATGTTTGACAGGGTGGTTATATTTTGCCAAACTTTCGGCAGGCATGCCGACATTTCTTTTTACATGTGACCTAAATTTGACTAAAGAACTAATGTTTTCAAAGGAAAGATATTTTGTTCAAATGAGAGGTTTAGGCTCTGCTTGGTTGTTAATTGAAATCAATTTTCAACACGTGAGCTCGCGCATGACGTTTGGATACGACGTTAAAAAATTGATTCCGCGTGTTAATTCAAATTACATTTTGAAAATCTGTTTGGTATCTCGTACTTCAGTTCTCCGATTTCAATGTGTCTGTCTTTTTCCTCTTTTGCGATAACTATTCAACTCCTACTAATCTGGTAAATAAATTCTTCATCTATTATGTGCAAATGATTTCAGACGAGTCGAAATCAGTTCTCAAATCTTTTGTGAGAAGTGTAGGCGACTATTTTTTTTTTTGAAGATGTTTTGTGATTTTCCTGAACTGTTTCAACCTTTTGCCCATTAATCTGGTAAATCAATCTTCATCTGTTATGTATAAATGATTTCAGAGAAATTGAAATCAGTTCCCAAATGATTTCTGAGAATTTGTAGATGAGTTTTTTTCATTTCAGATCTGTTGGTATTTTAAACTCCGAACTGTTCGAACCTTTGCACGAAGAGAACCTGAGGCGCAGTACCTGGGACACCCGGCCGGTCGTCCCCCGGGTCATCCGACCGGTCGACCGGCCGATCAACCACCCGGTCCTCCCACCTCTTCCGGTTTTGTCTTCCGGTTTTCCATTTCTTCGTTAAAACCTATCGGTCTATTTGAACCTAGCGGGCTTTTTTACTGATTTTTTTTTCTTAATTTTTCTTTTACTGATTTGTTTCCTTCTATTTAAACACAATGTTAACTGATTTTTTTTTTTATTTGTGGTTATATGTTACTGATTTGTTTCCTCCTATATAAACACAATGTTAATTGATTTTTT